CGTTTGAAGATGATTTTCAAAAGTTTGTAATACATTTTTCTGCAAATTGATGGACGATCCGCATTTTTTTGCACTTAAACTGCTTTAGTGTGTATAATAGTGTGTGTACTTTAATTGGAAATTTAGAAGAAGGCGAAACTCGAACAGGCATTTAGTACATGAGCACCCTTAATCTAATATTTGCAGTATCTGCAGCTTCTCCCTTGATAAGTTGTTGATTCATTGTTATCAGCGTTATAAAATAAACTGCACCGAACACAATAATATCACACTCAATAACTGATAAATCAAAATCACTGTCAGTTTAATAACGCAATGTGTATTTGAAAAGTTTATCAGATCTACAGATGCACCCGCACTAAGAGAAAAATGTCGAATTCAAAGTGCATATGTGCGTCCCAAGCCTCAGGCGCGAAGAGGCTGGAGTGGGAGCCGCCGTGACCGAGAAAAATCGGTTCACCCCCCCATAAAAAGTTATCACTTCAAAAATTTATTTTCTTTAAATACTGAGAAATTTGCAAAAAACTATACCAGAAGGGTGAAAACAATGTTTTTGAAGGTAATCTGCCTAATTAACATTTTGCTTCGTAATTATCAAAAACTCTGATAACCAGGGAAAAATAGAGAATGTGAATAAAATAGATAAGGATAAACGGTAAATTCAACAGGATTCGTTAAATGTAGGGATCTTGTTTTTCCGAAATGTCAAATTGTCAACGAGAAATAGTTTTTGTTGTCAATGTCCATGTCAATGTTGAATCACCCTGAATACAGAATGTTTTAAATATTATAGAAACATGATTGAGGCTCATTCTTTAGATTATTCTAAAATATAAAATCAGTTTCAACATTTCGCTATTGATATGCTGGACGTTGAACTTTGAGAGGATTTTGCTAGCTCTTTTCTTCATAACTCCTGCCGCTTTTGAGGTAATTGCTCCACAGGTTGAATTTAGGTAGTGCTGTAAGATTTGCCTTATTGGGCACATTTGCTATTGCTCAAAACTGAGAAGGTTTTCAGAAAAACCTCCATTTCTGAAAATTCAAGCCTTTGATGAACTGTTTCAAAAACGTCAACAATGCTCGGAAAACTCACCAGTTTTAAGATAATTTAATTAAAGCAACTGTTCAAAGTAAATCCTCATCTATTCGGTATATCTATACTCATCAGAGACCGGTTAAAATTGTTTTGCTACCGTTCTTAATGAGCACAGGCAAAGAAGCCTGAAGAACAAAATGAGTTTAAGGAAAAAACTAAAATCAATTGAAAAAGTTCTACACCAAGTGGATCGGAAAAAATGCGTTTGGTATTCCAAAATAATCCAAAGAATGTCTCCTCTCCATAAACCATTAAGTACAGCAAACGTGAAAAGGGATTAAAACTCATTATTAAAACTGTTTATAAATATTTAATGTTGCTTGAAATAACCACCGTTGGAGCCAAACATCCAATCAGTTCGATAGAAAAAAACATCTGCGCGGCAGCTGAGTAATATGTATAGTAGGAGGAAATCGGACGTCCGCAAACAAAAGCTGAATACACAGAGTGCAAAAACAAATCAGAACAAACAACGAATGAACAGTAATTACAATAAATAGGGGGTGCAAAAACGATCACAAAGCGGCAACCTCTTCACTTTTGGGTACTAACCGTCAGCAAGTTGGTGGTGGAACTGTTGTTGCTGACGTCGCTGATCGACAACTTGTCGGATTTGGAATAGAGATTCCGTAGATCGAGATCATCGTCGGCGCCTTCAATCTCTATACGGATACACTCCATGCGCTCCGATCGGGCCTGCTCCGTCAAAATCGGGGAGGGGGGCTCTACTATCACGCTCACTGGGGGGAACTTGCACTGGAAAAGGACGGCCAGGTTTTATGGGCGACGATCCGAGGGGGGCGTGCCAGTCGCCCCCACTTACATCTCCCAACGCTCTAAATTTCTCCCGATACTTCCCAGGGCGGAGATACTCTTAAGAATAAAGTGCATACCAGAAATGTTCACCTTTCTAAGTATGGGCCAACGTGTACATTGAATGATTTATGATTAGCTATGGTTCAGTTCAGACCTACATACAGGGTTATTCACGCTATACGGCATGGGCGTTTGCGGCTAAACCGTTTGTTTTTTGCAAACTATTATTTGATGAATCCACAGACGCCTATCGGGTGCACATTTTAAAAATATTTGTGTAATGTACAGAGTGTACCAAAAGCCCTAAAAGTATCAAAGTTGTGTTTTTCTAAATGAAATACCCTATATATTATTGCATTTTTGGATTCTCTGAGCAAAATAAGTGTTTG